CCCATTCCATACGAAATTGGAGATTGCCTTTTCCATCTCGTTGAAGAACTGCTTTCTCTTTCTGTCACCTCTCCTAAAGATCTTCCCCTGAAGAAACTAGAATATTCCTCCAGGTTTGAGGTTTTCAAAAAGAGCTGTAGGATCATAAAGAGAGCCTTTATATTTGAACAGTGGGCAGCTCAGTTCTGAAGGGGACAGATGATCATGGCTTGAGTTTGCCATTTTAACCAGCTACCTGTAGGTGTTCCTATGTTAGGAAAAAGAATGAGGAGATGTGCAGGGGTCAGGATAAAAAAAGTCCAGAAGCAATATTAATTCCTCTGCTTTGCCATTCTTGACTGGACTGTAGAATGAAAAGATCACAGTTTCAACTTTTCTGTATCTTAAACTAAAGGACTACACCTAGAACTTTTTAACTATACCTGTTTCAGCATTATGTTCTTTCTAAAAAAACAAAGCAGCATCTTGGTACTTAAATATGCATCTGTGGTCTAAAATGATTTTGTACTAAAATTTTTTTAAAAACAGACTCATGAGACTAGCCTTAAAAAATTGTGTCAACATCGGGCAAATACAAAAAGCTCTCCAGCAACAAATATATTACACATACAAAGACTAATTTAAAAACCCTACAAGATAAACCTTTACCTTTTTTTTTTTTTTAAATTGAGCTTATGTGCAACTGACCTTGAAGAACCTGGTTGAGGAAATTCTTCATCATGTAGATGGCTGTGGTGTCTTCTGTTTTCACGTGACTGTCGGTGAACCAACCATTCTCAGCAATTAAGATTCGGGGATTGCCATACTCCAGTTTAATCCAGTTCAGCACTTCTCTTAAATTGAGTGACACATTTTGCCCCATTTTGGTCATGGTGTTTGGGGGCTTGAAATTGTTGGGGCCAAAGGACAATGCAAAGAAATCAGCTGTGCCCTTCACCTCACTCTTCTCTGCTTCAGAGAAAACAGGCAGAACGGAGAGCAACTTCTCTTTCATGATGTCTGGATAGTCTCCATCCCCATGGATCGGGCTGGCAAACCACCCAAGTACAGAAACCACAGACTGTTGGCACTTGAGGATATCCATCGCGTTTTCTGATCTGTTAGGTTCAATCCAATGGGATCCCAATGTGATTGACAGCTGGCCCTTCTGATGTGGACGGAAGTTTCTGTTATAGTTATGCCAAACTTTCGAATGAGCCTGAAAAGAAGAAAATATTATTAATCAGTATGATAGTATGGATTATTATTAATAAGTTTGGTCTCACTTGACTGGTGGAAAGTTTCTTCATAGACAAAATAACACTTAAGGTAATACATAGGGAGCTATGGTGGCTTAGTGTAAGGAATTACACTGCCAACCCAAAGGTACATGGTTAGAATCCACCAATTGCTCCAAAGGAGAAAGATGGGAAATTTCCTCCCAGGTGATTTACTACCTCTGAAAAGTCACTGGAGGGTTAATTATGAGTCAGCTGCAATTTGATGGTACACAACAACAACAACAACAACAACAACAACAACAACAGAGTACTTCCTGCTTGAGAAACCTGTGTAGGATCCATGATCACCTCAGAGTCGGTTTTCTGTCCACTTCACCTGTCACTCATCTGAGAGTTTCTCGACAGGATTGCTGGGGCGGGGAGGTTAGGTAGGCTCAACCTACCTCACTGCTTGAATTCCTCACACACACACACACCCACACACCCACACACCCGTGGTACCTCTAGAGCCACAGCAGCAGCAAGAGGTTCACTTATTCATTGCTGACTCACAGACTCACAGTTATGGTGACAACACTGGGGTTTACTTGGGAAGGACACTGGCGTTTGAATGAAGCACAGCATTATCAATGCAAATCCAAGTGTTAGCCCAAGAGTCCCAAGGCACAATTCTTCAATTAGTCCAAGCTTTGGTTTCAGTTCAGCAGTCAAATACAAATTTTCCAGCAAGGTTTGCCTTAGAGTAATTATAATCAGCTTCTCCTTCAAGTATCAGCAAGAAAAGTAAAAACTCTACCTGTGGCCAGGACCAATGCAAGAAGTTTCAGGTCATACCTTGCCACAGTTTCTCCACAGCAATACTGCTTAAATTTGTAAATAAATTGATTGACATTCTTTTCCTACACAGCTTACAAATCAGGGATGTATTTTGGCTAGAGTAAAAAATGTTTCAAGGATGAGAGAAACTCAGAATAATGTCCTTATACCAAATCTAAATAACATTGCCAAGACTGGGAAAAAAATAAGCCAAACCCCACAAGATCTGATAAATAAATGTGTGGTCAGAAAGGATTTTCAAACAGCATTGTCTGGGAAACCGATCCAAGCAATTGCTGATTTACCCCACAGTGTAGCTCTCATTTTAACTCTTGGAGTCTGCTTCCCCAAATAGATTACACATAGATTCTTCCAAAATAAACCATGTTCTTCAATGGGTGCCTAATAAACAAGGCGTTGCTAAAAAAAACCCCCACAAAAAACCAACCCAACAAAATCCCAAAAAATCAACAGTAATACTCATGTTCTTCAGCCTTCTTGGGGTTACATGCAGATTGAGATACTATGTGGATTAAAGGTTTCTTCTTCTATATAAAAGGACACAGAACAATGCTTTTTTTAATTTATTTTTTTACAATGATTATTTTTTTTAAAAAAACTTTTTTACAAACTTCCCTTTAGTCCTAATATAAAAATCCAGGGTAATTCAGGCTTCAGATCTGTAAACAGGTCATGACAGAGTCCATCTCTCCAGGTTGTTGTAAAGATTGACTGAGTTCATGTATTTAGACTTGTGTCCAGCATGGAGTAAATGCTAAGCCTTTGAATTTGTAGCTACGATGGGACTGGAACTAATTGCCCCATGTAGTGAGTGCCCCTGGTTCCTGGCAATCAAATACAAAACACAAAATGATACCAAGTCCTGCACCACCCCATGAATATGGAGAGTTGGACTGTTGTGATCATATCAGTAATGTGACATTGTTGGTTCAGTGGTAGAATTCACTTTCCTTGTAGAACAGCCTGTTTCGTTGCTGGCCAATGCACCTCACGCGCATCTACCACCATTAGTCAATGGTTTACATCTTGCTGTGATACTACAACCTATGCATGGGTTTGTGTATTGTTATGATGCTGAAACCTGTACATGCAAAACCTAACCTAGATCAAGAAGCAGTTGTCTAAACAGAACAAGAGAATGCTGTTAGGGTTAAGGTGACCAAGGCAGGAGATGCCTGGGTTAAGACAAAATAAATCCTAGGATGCTCATGACCTTGATTCTCACACTGACCCTGCCTTCTGATTAAGATGGGGTTATGGAACAGGGAAGGTCAGCAAATAAGAAAAGAAACAGTAAAAAACATCTTGGAGCCCAGTTAAAGTATTTTATTGCTTAGGGATGAAAAACTGAATAACAAAAGCTATGAGGACTGCAGGTCATGCAGGCACTCAACCATGAGTTCCCCTCCCCTTATCTCTTGACTAAGCAGTCTTCACTCTGATAGTGGCACCTTCCTGCTGGTCAGGAAAAGTGTGACAGAACACTGCATGACTTAAAATTAGAAAGGTGTGTGTGTGTGTGTGTGTGTGTGTGTGTGTGTGTGTGTGTGTAATAGGCTTGCATTATTTTTCTATACCTATTATATTAGAAAAATCAACTGTCAGAGCCTCTCCAGTATACTGAAGAGCAATGATGTCAGTCTGGAGACTAAGGTGCACCTGATTCAGACCATAGCCTTCGCAATTGCTTGCTATGCATCAGAGAGCTAGACAATGATCAAGGATGACAAAAAGAGAGTGGATCCTTTTGAGCTGGGTTGTTGGAGAAGAATGTTGAATATACCATGGACTGCTAAGAGAACAAACAGATTTGTCCTGGAGGTGAAACCAGGCTGCTCCTTGGAAGCAAGGATTCTGAAGCTTCGTCTGACGTATTTTAGACATGTTCCAAGAAGGGACCAGTCCTTGGAGAGGGACGTCATGCTTGGGAGGGTGGAGGGACAGTTTAGGAGAGGAAAACCCTTGGTGAGATGGATTGATTCAGTACTGGGGTAATGTGGGTAGGTGTGTCAAAGACAATAAGGTTGGCACAGGATAGAGCAGGATTTAGGGCTCTAGTACATAGGGTCACTATGAGTTGCAAACGACTCGACAGCATGTAACAACAACAACATCAAATCTGTATATTGAGTAAATTATTTGAGAAGTTAGACTATATGAAGAAGAATGTGGCATCAGGATTGGAGGAAGACTCTTCAAAACCGATGTTATTATAAGCAAACCAATATAACACCAATATAAACCAATATAAGAGAAAAATTTAAAACAAAACCAAAGGTGTTATCCAAGATCATACAACCTTGCTTGTGGAAAGTAGAGAAGACTTGAACAACCTATTGAAGAAGAGAAAAACCTTACAGTTTTCAATGTTAATTACAACTCAACATCAAGAAAACAAAACTCCTTACCACTAGACTAACAGGCAAGACTATGATAGAAGAAGAAACAATGGAAATTCTAAACTATTTCATTTTAGCAACATCCTTCATACAGACAATCAAGAAATAAAAAAAAAATTTAAAAAGGCCTGTTGCATTGGGAAAATTTGCTGTCAAAGACCTCTCTTCACAGTGTTCAAGAACAGCAATGTCAGTTTAAAGACTAAAGTGTACCTGATCCAAGCCGCCATGTTTTCATTTGCTTTCTATGCACCTGAAAGTTGGATGGTGAATAAGGCTGATAGAAGAATTAATGCTCTTGAAATGTTGTGTTGTCAAAGAACACCGAATATCCCATGGACTGCCAAAAAAAAACCAAACCCCAAACAAATCTGTTTTGGAGGAAGTGCAGCCTGAGGGCTCCTTAGAGGCAAAGATGGTGAAACTTCATCTCATGTACTTTGGGTATATTGTCAGAAAGTCCAGTCCTTGGAAAAAGACACCATGCAAGGAAAGACAGAAATCAGTGAAAGAGAGGAAGATCCTCTCTGGTATATTGACCAGTGACTGTAACAATGGGCTGAAAAATGGGGGAGGAGATGAGCATGGTATAGGATCAGGCAAGGTTCAGATCTGTTGTTCATAGGGTCAGTATCAGTCATAGTCAACTCGATGGCACCTAATATGATAACATGAAGCTGAACAGCCCTTCACTGGAATTTCCAGGCTAGGAAGCCAGGTCTGGCCATCTGCTTCCCCAAATTCCCCAGTGCAAACCTACAGACCATGCTGGTCTGATTTACAATCAATCATTGGCATCGTAGAAAACTGAGCAGTGTTTCATGTCATTGCACTTGGAGTTGTCTTGTATCAAAGCCCGATTTGATGGTTAAAATACCCAACTACATTATTAGGGCTGTTGTGTGCCATTGAGTTAGATCCATCCTCCAGCAGGTTTTCACATGGGAGTAAAGCACAGGGGAGGAGATTGTCCATCTTTCTTCTGGTGGATTCAAACCATGTGCCTTTGGGGTGGCAGTGCAGCTTCTTACCACTAGGGCCACCAGAGCTCAGCAGAAGCTGAACAAAGCAGAAAACTAATGGGAAGAATGCCGGCTTTGGAGTCAGCACCCCTGGTTTGAAATCAGGTATTGACAGTGTGGCCTTGAGGAAATCAGTTAACCTTTCTGACATCTTAACTTCCTCAGCTATAAAATGAACTTAATTACTGTTTTAAGATTGTTGCCAGATCTAGAGTTAATATACAGTAATATGCAAGAGCAGGGTCTGTCTTTAAGTGCAGCCTAAAGGAGACTATTATTATATTGGTTCCCCTCAGAATTTGCATTTCACGGTGAGCACTCATGGCCATTATTATGATTACTGTTTCCCCTAGCATTTGCATTTACAGTTGAGTTCTCAAAACTAGTCAACTGGAAGTGCAAATGTTGGAAGAATGAATTATAATCACAGCTGTCTTTAGGCTGCACCTCCCTCGTGACAGACGCTTCTATTGTATATAACTTCATATACCCATTAACTCTACAGCAAACTCAAGGCCGCAAACTCATGATGCGTATCCAGTCTATTCAGTAGGTATTTACTGAGCAATTAGCGTCTGGCAGGCCCTGAGAGGTATAGCACAGGAAGTTGTCTTCAGGAGCCAATCTCACTGGGAAAATAACAACGAAATGTGTAAGAGAGAAACATAAAATTGCATGGAACAAAGAACTAAATAAAAACAAGAAAAAGCATGGTTTCTC